GATGGGTGGTTTGACTTGCTGTGAAGGACCGTTCCACAAGGTCCCAGCAGAGTTTAGGCTGCAGCTATGAATACTGCATCCCTCTTGTGTAATTCCTTCTTTGGCACCTGCTGCTTGTTTGCGCTGAAGAGGAGAGACAACTTCAGCTTCCAGGAGGTACCAGTCAGGGGAAAGTTCTTCCTCTGGAATTTTCATTGCAGGCAAAATATAAAACATTTCTATACTAAAGGAAAAAAAAAAAGCTCTCAGTATTCAGTGGAGAAAATCTGGATGTCTCAATCCAGCTGAGCCCATTTCTCAAGCACATTTGGTGTAACTTATTTCTGTGACACCCCTCTGCTGCTTTTCAGCAAATCTGCAAACATCTCGGGGACAAGGATAGATCTCCTTTTCTGCTCTGTTCCTGCTATTCTGCTGTTAATCCCCAGCATGACTTTCAGTTCACGACATCCATCATTTGGTATGTTAGTGGGCATTTGCCCTTGCGAAACTAATCTAGTTCTTCTCTCTCTGCTTTGTATCAGCTTCCAGTTTTGGCTTAGTAAAATAAAGACTTATAACGTGGCAAATTCACCCCAAAGCTATATCACTCATGTTTTGGCTAAATGTAATCTTGCGCTCCCTTATGTAAAATCCTCACTACGTTTTGGGTGGGCTGGTCTGTCTGCTGCACTGCTGCATGGATCCTCTCTTTCCTGAATCCATTTTTTTGTCTTTGCCAGTTAAACTAGTGTAATCAAACAGTGTCTTCTGTATCACGTGGATGAAGGGTGATCAAATGGTATGTAATCCGCCTGGACGAAACCTTAACTGAATGCCTCTGTAATAGTTTTGTTGCTGTCCTAGCCCCCTGGGAGCACTGCTCTTGTACCTGGATGGAGCAAGTCTCTGGTGCTGTGGACTCTCTTGCCAGGTCACACATCTTTCATCATTCTCCACCCTATAGAGATGAAATTCTGTGCCTTTAGGTGTTTCAGGAGAGAAATGAATGGTATGTACTTCCCGATGAACTGCAGAAGGCAGCAAGGGTTGAGTGAACTCCAGCGAGGGTGCTGCTCGTGGACGCCTATGGGCGGACACTGCTGTGACAGGAACGTGGGTGCAGGGAGAGCCCCAGAGCAAGCTCTGGTAGCAACTGGAGGGGCTTGTGGCTGAGGATATTCAAGGGTTAGTGAAGTTGAAGTGGTTGGTGGTGCTGGAGAAGCTAGAACACTTCCCCAGAGGGGTTGGTGATGATGTCCATCACCGACAACACACTGCAAGCAAACCAGAAATTGGGAAATGGAAAAGGGAGTGAGGGCTTAAAGAGCCGTTCATGGTGGGATGGCCAAAATGGGAAGGGGTTTCTTGGGGTGAAGGACAGAAGTTCAATATCTCCTTAGGGGAATTCTTCTGAACTTGCAGTTCTTCCAAATTGTTGCTGTGTTCCTTGTCTCTTGGATAAAACTTGGGTTTATTACATGTAGCAAGCTTCCTAGCTGCTCACAGTGCCTGGCAGAGAAGTTACACACAGACGTGCATCTTGTTGCTAATCCACCACTGCACAACACTTGCTGTTAGGTGGGATTTCTCTCTCCGGGGAGGGAGAGTTCGTATTTTGTGCAGATATTCTGTGCGTAGTTCGGGTGGAGTCACCTATGCAGTTTAGATAAGGGTAAATTGAAGACAAGTGATCTGTTGGGTTATGCTGAAGTGAATCGGAGAGATGTGTCAAGGGGGTTAACATTCTGGATCTTCCTATTCAGGTGAAAACTGCTGCTTTGTATGCAGGGAGTGCATGAACATAGGGAAGGGTTGTATCTTCCTCTGGCTGAGAGCAAAGGCAGGACATTTCAGGCAGCAGGAGGTGACTGAGGATCCTGCATTTGCTGTCAGATGCTGCCACTTGCTGTAGGTGTTCTCTGTCATGTGAGGAGAGGAAAACAACAGAGAGCAAAGGGAGGATGGGGATGAGCTGGGAATGTGTAATGGAAAATATATAGCTATTCCAGATACGGCAAGTTTTCTTATTTTCTTGTCCTGCAGACGAGAGAAGGTTCCGGTCAGGCGAGACAGACTGTCGTGGTTTAACACAAGCTACTACTTATGTGGCCTGTTTGTCATCACTAACAAAACCTCATCTACCTATTTTACCCACAAAAAAGGTGTTCAGCATCAGGGTGGCTGATGAGATGAGTGACCAGTTCACTAGGGCTGGCAGATAAGGTGACAGCATTTCTACAGACTAGCAGTGAAGAGGCCTTAGACAGATACCCCTTGACTTCTTGCTGAGTGTCCTATTCATGTTTTAGCATCTCAACACCAACAAATCAATGTTTCTCCCATGAAAAGTTAAACCCCAGAAAAAGTCATATTTTGAGTGTGTGATTCCATTCTGGTTTTTTGGAGAGTAATAAAAACCTATTCCCAGTTTTATTTACAGAATAGGCATTTTCCACTTACAAATGATGTTCTTGCTTTCTCCAAAGTAACGTGACTTTCCACCTCCCTCTGTATTTCCTTTTGTGAGAAACCAGGGTTCAGAATTGCAACCTGAAACAAAACTAGATGGTTCTGCTCTCCTCCATAGGATCTAACTTCCTAGGTTGTGGTGCTATTTATCACATGAAAGCTCAGTTCTCAGAAGGGCAGAAATGCTGGGATCCTCACTGGTCCACCTCTTAGCCTCCAAGTGCTTTGCTCATCATTCACTGCATGACCGGGGAACCAAGAGAGCATCATGGTGGGCAGGGAGCTTCCTGGACTACCCAGTAGGAAGGCTTTGGGGAAGATGTGGCATAAGTCTCTCAGAGCCTTTGTCCGTTCCTTGAGCTACCATCTAGAATTAGGCCACTAAGCTGTTTCGTTTTCTCTTAGTAGACTTCCAGTACTCATGACACAGTAGGGTAGAGACTTCAGTCTCTGTCCAAGTGAATACATAATGTGAGATAGTTAGAGCATACAGCAAGGTAGGTAAGGGTAGTATATGTCTATGTGGTATGGTGCCGAACACAGGTACCAGTTCAGGACAGAGAAAGGAACACCACTTCTTCCTCCTCTTGCGTATGTAGGTCTGTGAACATGCTCCTGCTTCCTGCTGGATTAGACCCTTCAGGCAAGTTAAGTGGAAGGAGCACTTCATTCAAGAGGGTTATTGGCCAGGCATGAGTCGCTCAGGATGCAGGTGGTTCTGGACATGTCCAAGAGCTGCGCATAGGGGTGGGGTCATCTCCCAAGATGATAAACCTACTTGTTGGCATATGTGCATGAGTAGTCATCCAGGCTTTTGTTAGGATCAGTGTAGTTCTAGTCAATATTTTCCATGGGGTCTAGAGAGCGATTCAGAACACCCTAAAATTGACCCCCACACTTGGCCAGCTGAATTGCTATCTGGACGCCATGGATTGCATTGATGTCACCTCCATTGACTAGAGTAGGACTTTGACACTTAATACACATGTATATGCCAACATGTAGACACCTAAATTTAGTTTTCTTAATATGTGGTCTTCTGGATACTTTATGGGTAAATCACAGCTGGGCAGGCGTTTTGAGGACCTAATCTTGAATTTAGGCTTAAGCTGACTGTTAGCCAGAGTCATGCGGTATCTCTTGGGAGCTGTTTCATTGTGGACATAGACCATCTGTGGATCTACACTTAAAGCCCAGATTTGTCCCACCTAACTTGATTGTTATTGAAGTGGGCATCTAGTTTGCTGTTTCTCGGTGGCATCCTTCAGCGGTACCCTTGGGTGATCCCCAGAACCACCAGGTTGCAGAGTTATGCGTGTTCCCTCTCCCTCTTTATTTCTGTTCCTCTTTCTACCCCAGGTGAGTGCTTCTGTGTCAGGCAAAGGGTAGGGCTTCAACCCCACTGTCTCCTGTGGTCTGCCCCTCATGTGTGCCAAGGACATCTTTGGCCCTGATGATCGAGGCAGGGTGGGCAGGAGCTAAACCCCAGCCCGTGAAGGACCAGGGGGCTGCTCTTTCAAACAGTTAGGCATGAAAGGGCTCTCGCTGATGGAAAGTGCAGGAACGCTATGAAGCAAAGTAGTTTTACTTTGCACTGAAATGCGATAGCAAGTCAGGAGGGCTCAACCCCAAGGTGGGTAACTTAACCTTCAGAGCCCCTTTGCAAGTGAAATGTCTTTAAATATTAGCTGGTGTAGGAAGTACTGAGGAGCCAAGAGAGGTCCACGCTGCTTGCAGAGCTGCGTCTAGGCACTGTCTGGGGGATGCTGGTTGACAAAGGCTGGGACCGTGCCAGGGCATGTATGCTCAGTCAAGCAGGGTGGGTGCCCGTGCGCCAGCACCTGATCCTTTTCATTTGCCAGCATGGATGTAGCCTTTGGGGACCTAAGCCCAAGTCTTCTGGCCCAGTGCTATGAAATACTAGGGCTGCCAACTCCTGCTTAAACACTTTCCATTTGTATGCATGGGAAACTAATTGTCAATTACCTTGGTCTATCGGTGCCTTTGAGAATAAGCAGAGTGAGGGTCTGAGGTCATTGGGTTGCTTTTGCTTTGAGAGTTATACTGTTTCCTCATCTCATTCACCATCTCAGGTAAGCTGAACTCCTGGTAACAAAAAAAGGCCTTACAATCTAAGGCACGTTTCCATGGCAAGTCAAAGAGGAAGCATCAGAAAGATGTTAATTTGTGTCTAACAATTCACTTACCATAGTAGCCTTTGCAATGTTTATGCTCTGAAGGAGGGGGAAATAAGCATTTCTTTTGAATGCACAGCCCTGCTTCCTTGTGGCTGGCGTCTTTCTTAGCAGGTGAATTATTCCTAGCTATGGCCAAATTCTGTGTCAATTCTACCCTTTATACCAAATGTCAGGATTCAGAAGATTAGACAATCATCAACACAAGCATTCTTTACACTGTTTATATTTCATGTACAACATGGTAAAACCAAACAAAACCCGCAACAGCCCTGGAGGATCAGATAAAGGAGACTGTATTGTTGCATGTCCCCAGATTTGAGCATCTAGAATGCTGCCGTGCTGCACTCATACCTCCTGGTTTCGGTCCTGTTTCTGCAACCGACTCTTGGGTCTGGTCTTCAGGTGACCTGGGCTGAATGTTTCCTCCTCCCAGTTCAGCATCTCCAAAGGCGTAGCGTCTTCGCTGCACGGCTAAATATTGACCTCTTGTGTGCTTGCCCAGATACTGGTTCACTGGGGGAAGTGGAAATGAGAGCTGTAGCCCACTTCTTGGTACCACTGCTGGTGTTGCCAGCATGCCCTGGGCTCCGTGAGGAAGCAGCACTGCTTTGGGAGGGGAGAGGAGTGAACTCTGCTGACAAAAAGCTGCTGGTCCTCACTCAGCATCCCATGATTGCTTGTCTTAAGTTGTCATTTATGCTTTCCCTCCCCTTACGTCCAACAGCAAACCCTGTGCAGGACTGCGAGGTGTGAGGCTGCAGCCGGGGCTAGTGGGCAGCTGAACCACGGCAGGGGGTACTGGGGGGCAGGAGACATGCTGGTGTCACATGGTGGAGACTGGGGCGGTTGCCTGACACGGAACTGGGAGTCTTGGAGAGAACTGTGCACGTCAGACAGAAGCAATGAGGGTGGCTTCGGAAATGACAGTGAGGCCATTCATTTGAGTTAGACTTTCGGATGAAATCTGTTTTCCAAGTAGACGTCATTGTTTTCAAGTGGTTTGGTGGTGTGGGGGGTTTTTTGTTGTTGTTGTTTTTTTTTTTATTTTTTTTATTTTAGAAATGTTAAACCCAGTGACCTCTCTTTTTTGCTATGCTCTGCTGTCACTGAGAGGGAAGTAGTCCAGGGAAGAGCCCCGAAACTCCTGCCCAGGATAAATGTTTCCTATGAGTCTGATCTCATCTGTGTGCCAAAAACAAGAATGCAAAAAGAGAGCTTGAAAAAAATTTGTGACTTGAATAACATTTATTTGATGTAAAGGGGGCAAAAAAAAAGGAAAAAAGAACAGCCTCAATAATAAGATAAATTAGTCCTGTTAGCAAAGACTGCGTTATGAATGATAATGGGAAAAAGCATGATATGCATATTCTGACTGATATACATGTCAAATTACCAAATAACTGTTATTTTGCATGGGGTGATGGGAAGAATGAATTCTCTGGATAGCGTAAAATGAAGAATTAATTCTGAATGATGTGCAAAATCTTTCTAGTGGCTGAGACATGGCCTTCATCTTTTGTCGTTTTTCTCTTCTGTGCATATGGTTTCTTCATGGTACTGCCAAAATACCCCTGTTGCTCAGCAACAGCAAGCTCAAATAGCACCAGTCGGAGGAAATCTGCCAGTTTACACTGGTCATAAACTGTGTACTCTTACCCGAGTGCAGATTTTGACATAAGAGTGAAAGCTAGCCTTTGTAGGTTTGCCTCTCTGGGGCACACATTGTCTGGGTGGGGAGGTGTCAGTTCAGACACCAAAAGATATCCTTTTCCATCACAAAGGGTATGATTGACAAATGGAGAGGTGCATCCTCTGGACAGAACATGACCTTGTCTAACCCCAATCTCGGGGTCCGTTCAGCATCTCCCCTAGGAACGAGTCCTCATCTGGTCTCGAGGAGGTTTCCAGCCCCAGAAGGCACAACGTTGTGCCTTCGGCTGATCGTACCTCCTGTACAGAGGCAGACTTTGCACTCGTACATTTAAGAAGGTGTTGATGCAGCAACATGCCGTAAGTACAAAGAGCAGAAGTTAGAAGTTTCCTAAATATCCCCCCATACACTGATTTCATAATTTTATTTTCCAACGTCTTCTAGACTACTGATTTAAGAGATAACGTCTCTTTGGAAGAGCTTAGCGATGATAAATAGAGGAAAACTTACACCAAACTCAAAGAAGTATGAGTATTTGTTTTAAAAATCAAATCCACACAATATTCTGTAGGTATTTACCAAGTAAAACACAGCAAATGGTACATTTTTACAAGTGATCTCTGGAGTGTCAGTCATACAGAAATACTGTCAAACATCTGAAAACCTAACACTTCACCAGAAAATACTGCCAGCAGTTCATCCCAAATATTTTTCACTCAGATCTTTTTGGTGTTCATAAAAAGACATGTTTTTTTTTTTTTCCCCAACCTCTAAAATCGGCACTAGCACTATTCACAGGCTACTTTTTATTTCCTCTGCTACAAGAGGAACAGGTTTTGTTCAGCTTTCCCAGGAGCAATGTTGCTGCACGTAGGCTAAGGCCAACTGAAGGACCTGAGCACACGGAGTATTTGTGGTGAAGATGTCAGCTTCATCATGAGATGAAGTATCTCGATGAGCCAGGCAGAAAGGTGGCTGAGTTAGCACCCATTGAGGTGACCAGCACTGTTGGGTGCAAGGTCAGCTTCCTCCTTCCCTACCTGCAGACCCCGGGAGCCTCTGCGGAGGTGACACATGGCTGGTCTGCTGCAGAGCTCTGCTGTGTCCACCAGCCCCCCGACCATCCTCTTCCAGTCGCAGTGTGGAGGGAGATGGCAGAGCAGCAAATTCGGCAGCAGACTGGGGCAGTGCACCGTTTTGCTGCTTGACACGAATGGGCTGAGGGGGATGTTGTAGGGAGAGAGGTCAAGAAGACCAGCTCAAATTAGTTCTACTTGTGCACCGACTGAACGGAGCCATTTTATTGCATAGGAAAGGGGCAGCAATGACTTTGCTGCTGTCCCCTCCTGTGCTAACCCATGACCAAGTTCAAGTATTAAGAGAAATCATGAGATTAACATAAAATCATGAAAATTCTTACATTTTTTTGTAGAAAAACATTCTTTTCACCGGCATTTGCTTTCTTGGCCTTGGGTTTACAGACTTTTCTCTGCAACTGGGTAGGCTTGAAACATTTTTTTCATGAAAATGTTAAATCCTAGTGCAAATCAAAACATCCAAAAGCTGGGGCTTATAGACACCCCCTCCATGCCATTAGTGTGATTTTTACCACAAGTCTTGCAAGTGTTAGCAACACTGCCTGCAATTTATCTGTGTCCATCTCTTGTGTGATGATTGCCAGTGCACATCTCTCTCCACCAGGCTTGAGAGATCCTCCAGGCAGAGTTCTTCACCACCTATTTTCTATTTGGCAGAGGGTACCCTTTATTCCACTTCTCTGCTACTATGAACCTCTCTAAGACATATCCTGTTGCCATTGTAAGCTGGTTTTAGCCATTTATTAGGAGTCGCATCAGATGCTGAGAGATGCTCTGCTCTTTATTGCTTTACGTCCGCTTGCTGTGACTTGGATTTCACAAATAGATTTTTTTTTTTTTTTCCAATTTCTAAGTCATTTCCCCACTGCTTAAAATTCAAGTGTCTTTTCAGGCATACTTGCTTTTAAATCATTACAGACTGGTCTTGGGAAAGGTCCTTCCAGCACAGCACAGTCCTATCTAATCAGGACAGAAAAAACGAATGTGGTGAAAAAAGTCTCTCCACTCAGAAGGTGGCGATTTTTTTTTTGGTCTTTTGACTTTGTAGCACACAAATAATGTTTTTTTGGGAAACACCTTGCACTTTTGCCTTAAATCTGTGAAGTATCTCTCCTCTTGGGTCTTTATACCTCACAGCAAGACCTCTGATGTTTCTTCATCTTCAGATAATAAGCTCGGTTGGCTTCTGGATAGGTGACTTTGGAGAGCGGTAGCTTGTAGATGGCAGAGTTGTCTGTGGTTATTAACAGGAAGGTCAGTGCAGACAAGCAAAAAGACCAGGTTCCTGATGGCACCCCAAACTGCAAAAAAAAATACAAACCACCTATTTTCTATGTGTCTTTCATTTGATCCCCCGCCCCTTGAACAAAACTCAGAGCCAGGCTGCTTGGAACAAGCTTTCTCAAGGAAGGGTTGACTTGGTTTTGCATGGCGCCTCTCCCTGGGGAGGCAGGATTTCCTTATGAGATCTTGACATTGTGCATTAACCTGCAACATCTATCAGCTCTGGTGAGAAGGCCGCCTTCTCTTTGTGCATCTGCAATGGCTTTGGATGGGGATGAGGTAGGAGTGGATGGAGATGAGACAGGAGTGGATACCAGAAGCATTCAGCTTTTCCCTGGGCTGTTGTACTGACTGCCTTTTGGCACTTGGGCAAAGCGATTAAACCAAATCTGAAGTTTCTTTACACATGTGGAGGGCCCTTTTCTCAATTGCTTCAGGCACAAAGTATAGGCACAGAATTATCTCAGAGGTGTTGAGGGCTGAGCTGTGGCAGTTCATGCAAGTTCTGAGGATGAAAAGTGGTAAGTGATGATTGTAAGTGGCCTGTTTCAGTGGGAGCCACACCAAACCCCTGGGCAGACAGTGTCCCCTCTCCCGGATCAGTTCTGCCTTTGGCTGGGTTGTTCTCCGCATCTTGGTGTTTTGCCTGACAAGCCAGGAAAATATCAGTGTTCAAATCTGTTGTTGGAAACAAGACCTTAGCTGATACGCTACTTACCACAGACATCATGTTAGTCACTGTTGCTCCCAGGTAGGCACTGAAGAGCGCTGTGAAAAAGAAAGGTAGTTCCTGGTGAGTTCAGTTGCTCATGGAGGAGAACAGCGAGGACAAACATCTCTCACACTGCCTTAGGTAGCTCAACCAATGTTTATGACCGTGCCTGGACAGCCCCCTCTTAGAGCTCTTTCCTTTGCACTGTCCTCCCTGCAACCTAGAGCTCATGGAAAAGGCAAAACAAAAAAAGAGCTGGAGTGATGAAAAATGTGACTATGGAAACAGAGGCTTTTGAAAAATGCACTGACGTGGAAAGTATGTAGCTTGATGGATGGGGTTAAATAGGAAAATAACCCTTCTACCCCCATCTCTCCTGCCTCTAGGGCTAGAATGTGGTTCAATGAGATACAAAGCTAAATCTTTTTTATATGAGCACTGAATGAGCAATAGTTTCACTCCCAGCTCACTGTGATATTGAAATTTCATATGGAATTGCCTTATAAATAATTCTTCAATCATTCTGTGTTGCCTAGCTCATGCCTTTGGTATCCATTTCGATAGACTGGGGAAACTGTACCGTCTAACTACAGATGCGGAATGATTTTGAGCTCCAGTTTTCTCAAAGGTTAGATATGTCCTTCTCCAAAGAAGGAATTTGAGCTGGTATCTGTGATTGGAAAAAACAGTATGATTCATCCAGCGATGTTGAACAAACACGATTAATGCCTAAAAACTAAGCATGTAATTTCAAAGACCTTATTTAATCAGCGTCCACTGATCGCACCTCTTGTTTTGAACACAACTCTTGGCTGAAAGCGAAAGCACTGCTTTTATTTTGTCAGGGTACGTTAGAGCAATGGCTCCAACACCCGGCTCCATCGTTCGTCAGTCTCGCCTAAGTCCATGTGCCTGTGTAGAGGTGGCCACCTGGCTTCAGCCCACCTCCAGTATAAATGCATCTTGTCTTACTTCAAAAGGAAACATGGCGGTAGGGAAAATCCATAGGGTACGTACCACAGGCAATTGCCAGCAAATGTGTCTGCCAGGTGAAAGCGTAGAACATGCCTCCGATCGCAACGCATGAGAGGGAGCTGTTGTAGCCCCACAAGCCGGAGTAGATTTTGCTAAAAGGTGTTGCTAAGCTCAGTGCTGCAAAATAAATCAAAGATGTGTCATTCCTTGGCCAAAGAGATAAAAGCAGCTAGAAATGGCATGAATTCAACTTTTTAGGGCTCTAGCCTGCATACGTACGCCGAATTCTTATTTGTAGTCGTGTTGCTACGGTCTAAGACTAAAGCCACTTTAATCTAATGCAATCATGGCAGAATTTCCCTGGTGCTGCTGAGCTGAATTTGGCCATACGATTTCAGCAGAAGATAGATGAGTGAACGAGCGTACATGTGTACTCTAAATGCATCCCTGAGGCCTGCACATTCAGACTGATGGCTATGGCTTTTATTAAGCTGCTCCTAAAACCATCAGAATATATTCAGAAATGAAGTATTTCATGATAAAAATTCATTCAGCCAAAAATACTCTTCTTTCTTCTGAAGATTTCCACCATCATAAAATGAGGTAAGAGAATGGGGAAGTCAATCAAAAGAATTCTTAAAACAGAAGTGTATATAATTTTTTTTTTTCAAGCAGTCATTCTCCAATAGAAGAAACATTTGTTACTGTAAATGCTCCACTCATTGCAGTTCCTCTTTTATTCTCCATGCTTTTGTATAAATCTGTGACACAAGTCAAATCCTTACCTGCCAGCATCCCCACTGCTGATCCAATTGCCGCATGCAGACAAATGAGCGGGGAAGAGATAAATAAAGCAATTAGGAAAATTCCTCCAGTCCAGGGGTTATTGCAGCCATAAACCTGACCCACCCCGACTGGAATGGATTGCAGGAGCTGCAGGAATTTAAAAACAAAAAACAAAAAAAGAAAAAAAAGACAATTTGTTATCTGCTTTGTAATCTCTTTTTTTTTTTTTTTTTAACTTATTTTTCTTGGCC